GCCATGCCATCACGGTCACGGTCATCCTCCCGGTCCCGGTCATAAGTCTCCGGGTCACGGTCATCCTCCCGGTCCCGGTCATAAGTCTCCGGGTCACGGTCACCCTCCCGGTCCCGGTCATAAGTCTCCGGGTCACGGTCACCCTCCCGGTCCCGGTCATAAGTCTCCGGGTCACGGTCATCCTCCCGGTCCCGGTCATAAGTCTCCGGGTCACGGTCATCCTCCCGGTCCCGGTCATAAGTCTCCGGGTCACGGTCATCCTCCCGGTCCCGGTCATAAGTCTCCGGGTCACGGTCATCCTCCCGGTCCCGGTCATAAGTCTCCGGGTCACGGTCATCCTCCCGGTCCCGGTCATAAGTCTCCGGGTCACGGTCATCCTCCCGGTCCCGGTCATAAGTCTCCGGGTCACGGTCATCCTCCCGGTCCCGGTCATAAGTCTCCGGGTCACGGTCATCCTCCCGGTCCCGGTCATAAGTCTCCGGGTCACGGTCATCCTCCCGGTCCCGGTCATAAGTCTCCGGGTCACGGTCATCCCCCGGTCCCGGTCATAAGTCTCCGGGTCACGGTCATCCTCCCGGTCCCGGTCATAAGTCTCCGGGTCACGGTCACCCTCCCGGTCCCGGTCATAAGTCTCCGGGTCACGGTCATCCTTCTCCGGGTCACGGTCATCCTCCCCGCCTAGAGCGCGGATCACACATCGCGCGGCCCGCCGCTGGAGCGGCCCCCGGCCGGTGCGGCGCCGGCGTCCGCACGGTGCCCCGGCCCGGCCCGGCCTGGCAACAGCCGGCGTCGGCGGGGGTGAGCGTGCCCGGCCGGCGCGTCGGTGCCGTCGGCGCCGACGCTGCCAGCGCGCCCGACCGGCGGCCGAGCGCGTGTAGCGCCGCGCCACCGGCGTTGGCACGGGCGCGGCGGCGCGGCGCGAGCCGGCGCCGGCCGAGCCCCCGCGCCCCGGCGCGCTCTGAGCCGCCGCCGAGCGGGCGGCGACGCCACGGCGGCGACGGAGGCACCGCCAGACGGCTGAATCGACCTGGGCGCCGTCCAGCCTCTGGCACACGCCATCCTACGGTGGCGGGTGCAGGCGCCGCCGCCGACGTTGTTTTTATGATGTCTGTATCGGCTGCCAAAGCCACATGACATGATGGTTGGACGAAGATAGCGACGCCATCGGGGCTATATTTAGGAAAGGTGTGAAAGAAACGGCGGTCTCGTCTCGACCGCGACACAGCGGTAGCGATGTGGCAGGTCCCCTCTGTTGCTGGCCGACTCCGGCTGTTGGGAGAGCACTGTCTCTCCGGAAATGGATCTAACAGATTTACGGCCGCGCCGGTGCCCGTCCTTGAGTGGCATTGACCCAGCCGGAAGTCACCAGCTGCGCCGTTGGCGCCGGCGCAGACAGGCCGGTGTGGTGGGCTTGCCTCCCAGCAAGCGCTCCTGAAATGCCACGCAGGCGTGCCAGGGTTGGCGGCGCAGCCCATTCTAGCGTGTGTCATGCCGTCTGACGACGTCGCCTCGGCGCGCCTAGGTCTGCACGGGCGGCTGGCGGAGCCGAGCGCTCGGCCGGCCGCCGCCGTCAGGCCGCTGCAGTGTGGGGGCTCCATCAGACGCAGATCGCGCCCGCCGCGTCGGCAGCTCGGCGGCCGCCGCTGGACACCGGCCTGCGCCTGACCGCGGAGCTGATTGTTCCGCGGCTGACAGATTGGTCGGCCTCCGATGCCGCGGCGGCCGGCCGCGAATGCCACCGCCCACGGGAGCGGCCTGTCGGCGAGTTATGACCGCTCAGGAGGCCTCGAAGGGCCGGCCGCGGCGTCTGGTCGAGACTTTATGGCCGGCTACGCCCGCGTCCGGGCTTTTGCGAGCCGCACTAATGTCGCCGCCGCCGCCGCCGCTGCCGCGCCACGGTACGTGCGCCGCGCGACGCCACGCCAAGCCACGCCTCGCCTGCGCCACGCCACGCCACGCCACGCTACGCCACGCCACGCGCGCCACGCCACGCCACGCCACGCCGCACCGCGCCGCGCCGCGCCGCCGTCCGGCTAGCCGGGAACAAGACCGATGTCGTGTTTTCCCTGGCGAGAGGAAAGAGACCCGCGGGCTTCTTTGGCGAAGAGTGGCTGGTTTTTGTCGGTCGGCTCGGCGCGAAAAGCCCTCATCCAAACAGCGTAATCGATTTGCTACGGGGAAAAAACGACACGAAAAACGATGTTGTGCTTAGCGCTTCGTCAGCACGGCGATAGGAGGAAATAGCGAGGTGTCACTCTGCGGCCAGAGAATTATGGGAGCCCTGTTTATTAGATATCGATCAGCGATTATTAATGGCGTTCATCCGGACGTGTCGAGCAAGGCGGAGTATTGCGTCACTAGAAAGGGATGAAAATGAGTTCAGAACTTGTAAGATCTTGAAATGCTACGCGCTATTTCCGAGATTAGGACAAAAGGTGATGCGGGTGAGGAAAACTTGCAATACATTTATTGTAATTATTGCGACATCAATGCATTAACGCAGTCACCGCGTCAATGAATCTTACTGGAAAGCTTTAAAATATTGTCGTAGTTTGGTAGGAGGAATGTTTGGTCTATTAAGCCCTCTGATCCCCTCCCTCCCCCCCCCCCCCCCCCTCCCGCATCCTTTCGCGTCCACCATCGTGACAACCGATGGGGAGACACGACGTTTGCCCGACCCCCCCCCGATCGGACGCTCCATTAGTGCATTCGCGGAGTCGCGGAGTCATCGCGGAGTCCTCCTCTCGGAGTCGCGACGTCACTGGTCAGCGGCAGCGGAGCCGCTGTCGACAGCAGCGGAGCTCGGTCACGGCGGCTCGAGCTTTGGCGGCGCGGCCCGACCCGAGAACAGCGGAGCGGCCCGACCCGGCTGTAGCGGAATCCGCTCACGGCGGCTCGAGCTCTGGCGGAGCGACCCGACCCGAGAACAGCGGAGCGGCTCAACCGGGCAGCAGCGGAGCCCGCTCACGGCGGCTCGAGCTCTGGCGGAGCGGCCGGCACTCGCCGAGCGGAGCAGTTGGGTCCCTAAAGTCCGGAGTCCCCGAGCGACGTCGGATGGTGGGGGCGCATGGGGGCGGATGTAGCATGCACGCCACGCGGGGGGACCGGCTTTCGCTACCCTGCTCCGGGGCAGACAGCAGAGACGGGCACAGGCGGGCAGCGCCGGCCGGGGCGGACAGACAGGTGCAGACACGTGCAGACTGCCGCGAGGGACGAACGCGGACGGTGTCAGTTGAGAAAGACAGACGCAGACGGCGACAGCTAAATCGCGCTGACGCGGGCGGAGCAGGAAGCTTTCCCTCGCGGAAGTTTACGCGCGACAAGGCAGCGCGCGCCGCCGCGATAGCACCAGCGGCGGTGGCGACGACGCCGGCAGGGGCAGCGACGACCGGCGGGGGCGGTATGCAAATGCGCCGGCACAGCCGTCTCCTCGGCTCGTGATTGGCGGAGCGGCAAGGCGTAATCGAATGCGACGGCGCTCTCGGGACGATTACGGCGCACCCGCCGCCTGCCGACGCGGAACTTGGCTCGTCGACAGGATGTCGGAATTGAAACAACACATGATGGATAGCCGGGGAGATGAGCGGTGTTCGGAGGGACACGGGCGGCGAGAAACTGGGCAGGTCGGACCTGGCAGAGGCCTGGGCTTCTGCCAGGGCAGCTGGTAGCTCGGATTAGGCCTGTCGTCCTCAGGCTGGGACCACCCAAGCTGGGGGTCGAAATAGCCGGGAGATGGATTAGTTGTGTCCAAACTTGAGACATCCGATCGGACTTGACGAACTGCTTGTGCAGGACATTCGAAGGCTTTCAGATGAAGTGCCGCCCCCGTGTTGCGTGTGCTAATGTTCTGTGCGGGTCCTCATCTACTCAGAGAGCGATTTCACCAGCAGTAATTTGTCCAAAGAGCGATTTCACTCATCCAGAGGGCGACGGCGATCCGTCATAAGAGGAAGGGAGCTCGGCATTGCGCCGCCATCCATCAGATGGACGTCTGAGAGCGATGCCGAGGTTCGGCTAACGAACGGTAATTGCCCCCTTCTCGCCGCGTGGCCAGACCAGCGCGCCATCGACGAGAGTGGCGCGGCTGACCGCGCGGCACCGGGCACCGCTAATGAGCTGTTTTGTCTGGCACCAGTCGATAATTAGCCGGCGCCCCTCCCCTCTCTCCCAGCAGCGGCTCCCTGCGTGCCCTATCAGAAGAATCTACGCGGAGGACCGGGTGCGGGATCGGCAATGGGGCTACACATCTGGTGTTTGGCTCTCAGGCCCGGCCAGCGAGACCCTGCTGAGACCGTTGGTGAGAATGAGACCCGACAGGGGACCAGGGCGGAAGCAGCGGCAGCGGTCCACGGTTTTGGGCCGTCCACGGGCGCACGTGCTCTGTCCCGGCAGATGTGCTGTCGGGCACGACCGGCGCTCAGGTCCAGAGGGTGGGCCTCCTCCGCATTGACCGAGCTGACTTTCCGGAGATCGATGCGGATTGTCCGGCTCATAAGTCCCGTTCATAACTCGGTTGACTCAGAGTGGGAGTAAATGAGGCGTGCCTCTGGCAACGCAGCGCGCTCGGCACGGCTGGCGGTTAATGACCCTCCAGACGTTCTCGGCGGGAGTTCGGCAGCGCAGGCTGGCGGTCATGCATGCGTCAATAAATGTTACCTGCCCAACCGCTCCGTCTGATTGGGATCTTCGACAGTGACCTCAGACGTGAAGCGTGGCGACACCAGTCTGCGCCGAACGCGATTAAACGTGGTGACACCAGTCTATGTCGAGCGTGGCAAAAACGTGGCGATGCCAGAACGCGGTAAAACGTGGCGACACCAGCTTATGTCGAGCGCGGTAAAAAGTGGCGACACCAGTCTGTGTCGAGCGCGATAAAACGTGGCGACACCAGTCTGTACCGAGCGCGCGGCAAAACGCGGCGACAGCTGTCTGTGCCGAGCGCGCGGTAACACGTGGTGACACCAGTCTGCGCTGAGCGCGGCAGAACGATTTCCAGTCACATAACATCGCACGACATCCGAGCCAGCAGGACCCCCTAGCCATCACGAACGCTGTCGGACGGTCTGCACGCGCGGAGGGCATCCCGCGAGAAATGACACGAGCCAATCGCCGCCCCACACGCGATATGACGCCGTCTGGCCGGCCAATGGGCGGCACCCACCTGGAACATGAAGTGTCGCGAGTTGCGCTGGCCCAGCCACAGCTGCAGGCGCTGGTCGCCTGGCAGCGCCGCGCCGGCCCAGCTGGCGTTGCGCTCCGCCAGGTGGATGACCCGCGAGTGCACGTGCCGGCAGTCGACGAACACGTCCAGCTGCTGGCCGGACACGGAGACGGCCAGCCTGCAGGAGCGCCGGTGGCGGTCAGGGCGCGGTCAGCCGGGCGCGGGCGACGGACGCGGTCACGGCCACGCTCGGCGTGCCCTTCCGTCGCGAGACCGGTCTGAGATCCGCGGGTGATCGCGGGTCTTCAGCTCCGTACCCCGGGCACAAACCCCGACAGGACCCCCATAGGCTCAGTCTAAACACGACAGGCTGCAGCGATCGGGACAGCCAGCTTCCAAACCTCGGTTGGTTTCGATTATAGCCCAGGGCAAGCGCATTATGAAGGGGTTTGTCAGTCGTGGTTACTCCTCACCACCCCATCAAAACAAACTGTCATGACTTCCCCGACTGAAAGGGTGGTATGACACGTTGGGTCGCGCCAAAACTGGATGATTCGGCTGAACTGTCTCTTCATATTGCACCTTTCGTCGCCAAAACTCGCAGTCAGGTCAATGGGACTGGCTTTAAATAAAGTAGCACACGGCAGGGTGGGGCGGCTGTGTGTGTCCAGTGATCATATCCCGGTCATATCGCAGCACACAGCAGGGCGGGGCGTCCGTTTGTGTCCAACGATCATATCCCGGTCATCCCGCAGGTTTGTTAGGCAGTGGGGCTGCGTATTGTGGCTTAAAAGCGGCGCAGCGTTCTTCTCAGGTGCGTGTCCAGTTATGGTCCGAAAGCTGCATTCGAATTCACCTGTGTTTGCTCTAAAATATTTTGATGCCAGATGGATTGTTAATTTCATGGTCTCTTCCAGACAATACCTGGATGCGCTCCCACATAACGCTTAACCACAAAGCGCAGGTTGGACGTTGATCTAATCGCTACAGGCCCCACAAGAAGCATTTGCCAGCACGACTTTCCCAAGAGGCGTTGCCGGTCACCACCAGCAGCCGGGCCGTGCGACCCGTGACGTCAGAGGGCCGGCGGAGTCTGGCCAGCGGCGCCGGTGACTGGGAGGCCCGTGAGACCAATACACAGAACCACACGAACACGCCACCAGATTGTCAGCCACGCGCCAATGGACGCCGCCCTGTGCCTCTGTGCGGCCACAGAGCGCGGCTCAACATGTGCGCGACGCGGACTATCCGTGCCGCACGAGGGAGACAAGCGCGAGCAATCGAGCGCCGGAGACCCGTCGACTTGCGGCGGCAGCGTTGCTACCGCTGGAACCGTTTTTGTTGACATGGGATTTTGGTACGAACAACACGGAGCGTAAAAGACTGTAGAGACTAACACTCGAACGGGAGGAAAGGGCATGCGACACACATGGCAGAGCTTCAGGAAACAAAAGCAACTTATGAAATGGGTCACGAGACCAGGGCTTAGATCCATAAAACAGAGCTGCCAAGCTGCTTACTGCATCATCATCATCACTGTAGGAGCATTCGCACCACAAAAGGTCTCACCGTTTGGGGTACGAATGTTAATGCAATGTTTCTTTTTCGTTTTATCTAGGCGGTATGTTCAGGAATAACTTAGCAGTAGCGGCAAAGCAAAAATTACACTTATGTGACTTTTGTCTTTCGGCACGTTCGTTTTGTTCTGTTTTTGTCGAAACCGTTTTGGCTAGCAATGACCATTTCACGGTTATGAGATGGAGGCGAGTGAATAATGGTGAGGCAAAAATACATGCACCTGGGGGCCCATCCGCCGAGATATTCACACACATCCCTTTATGGGGTATGTGCCCAGCGCTCGGATGAGGCCCCCACGAGGCAACACTTAAGCCAATTCATGGCTGGTGCACGTAGATTGCTCTAGATAAACAGGGTGACGCATGGAAACAGTATGAAGCGAGAATGAGGAGAGAAGGCCGGATGACTTCCGTGGTGCGCTTTAGTAGAGTGCAGGTTTATATATATATATATATATATATATATATATATATTTGGCATAAAACGAGACCAATTTGAGTGTTTCCAACCATGAAGCTATGCGAAATGCCCAACTCATATCAAATTTGCATTAAGTTGGTGGTGGGACCCTGGTCGCACATTATTTTCATCCAACCGAAAGAAGACTCGATACATATCGTAGCTGGGACGGAATCACACACGCACACGGACACACACACACACACACACACACACACACACACACACACACACACACACACACACACACACACACACACACACACACACACACACGCTATACAGCGGGCTGGGCCCACCAGCGCCCCCGAGGCCCGGCCGTCAGCTGACGGGCCAGCTGACTGCGGAGGGGGGGGGGGGAGGGGCGGGGCGGGGCGCACCTGTGCCAGCGGTCGTCGGCCAGCCTGTAGCTGAACGACTCCATGTGGACGTCAGGCTGGCCGGCCGGCTCGCCCTCCGAGCGCCGGCGCGTGTAGTGGAACCGGATCTCATCGGTGCGGCCCGACGACTGCACCTCCAGGAACCTGTCCGACAGAGGGGCTGGCGTCAGCGGCAGGGGCGGCAGCGGCGGCGGCGCAGCCCGCTGGGGGCGCGGGGGCCGGGGGCTAGTGCGCGCCGGCGGCCGGATACGGACGAGAGGTGACGTGGGTTAGACACGGGATAACATACCGCCACCGCGACCCCGCCCCGCGCACACCCACACAGAGCGGGGTCTGACTCGACAGCGGATATCCAGACCACCAATTGGTCGCCACTCCAGTCCTCTCCCCGCAGCCCCCTCCCTCCCCGCCATCCCCTGCGGTCCAATCTCCGGCGGAGTTGAGCGTGTTTCGGCTCGTTTAGGTGCGAGTCGAGTCAGGCGATCGGGCCCGCACCTGGTGCCCTGCCAATCAGCTGATGGGCTCTGTCTCCGGCCGGTGCCCTTGTCAGACGCAACGCCTCCGCACAGAGTCTGCCGGCACTGCAAGTGGCAGCGAGTGCTGGATCCGTCGGCTAATGAGGAGGGGTGTGACTGGGCGCAGCTGCTGTGATTAGACGCGTCACCGCTCGACTGGACAACGGTCCGAGATTTCGACAGAGATACTCGCTCTTCAAAACGGCGGAATTGAAGCGATTTGAAGCGATTTGGAAATACCCAGGCAAAGTATTTGTGATGACACTCGAATGCCTGGCATGGTGTTCCTATTTTGGCACACGGTGATGGATAACCGAGCCCTTTTGTCCATTTCGGGCGATTACATACCACCCAAATAATCCGATCGGCTTACCACTGACCCAGTCATTGTACGCTGCCCTTCATCTGCTTACATTATTCACTTGGTTTGCGGCAAAAGCATCCGAGCGTGAAAAGCAGTGTCCGACCCGCCCACAACACCGCCAGCTAATCCAAAAAGAGATGGACGCAAAGGTACACAGATAGACGTCGCGCGACGACAGCAGAGGCCGGCCGTGTCACGTGGTGCCGTCTTCTCAGCACTTGCCAGGCTGAACAAACCGCGGGCAGCGTGACCCAACCGAAACGTGAAGGATTTAAGAAGGGAACAGCTGCGGTTCAGTTTACTGGCCGGAGCTAAAAACGTCCGCACGCGCACCCGGCACAGGTGGTGGCGCATTTGTCTCGGGTCGAACATATGGCACCGCTGGCTGCAACACGTCAGCTGACTGACTCAGCGCTGCAGGACGGAGCGCAGGCTGACGCCGAGAGTCGGGTCAGCTCAGGTCAGGCACACACGAGGACGGAGCACACTCGGCCGCCGGTCACGGACGGCCCAAGGCGCCGCACAGGCTGACGCCGTGGTTCGGGTCAGCTCAGGTCAGGCACACACGAGGACGGAGCACACCTGGCCGCCGGTCACGGACGGCCCAACGCGCCACGAAGGCTGACGCCGCGGGTCGGGTCAGCTCAGGTCACGCACACACGCAGTTGGGGGACCGCCACCTACATGATGGCTGCCTTATATCGCGCAGGGACATCACGCGATCGACCCTTCCGTTGGATCATGAAGCAAACGCTCCAAACTGAGAGAAGGAACGCCGACTTTGTTATGGAGTAATATTTTTAATGGAGTGACCATTTTCCCAGCGCAGACATATTGCACGCCCCTGTCCAGTGAAGAAAAAGGTTTCCTTTCCGCACAGGCTTACAGACTGCTGCATCGTGGTCAAATGACTCAACCTCTCAGCTCACCCATCAAAAACCCGAGCAAAACAAAACGGGTCGTAACCGCCCCCAGTCAGTGGAGCGCTGTAAATGCAGTTGGCACGATTCCGGGTGGGCTCCCCTTCACGCCGCGAGAACCCCTCAACAAACACGACAGTTCGGCCCATAAATTACCGCCGATCGCTTTTTAACGTCGGCTTGATCGCCTGGCGTTTCAGGGCTCCATATGCCCTCCGGCGGAGAAGGCTGTTACGATGGGCGATGATAAACTCGGTGGACGCCGTTGTCAACAGAGGACACATCCCTACGACGAAGGGTGGTGGTCGGGCTCAGTGAATATGCATCACGCTGGCGTTTTATTTTCGCTCAGGAAACATCTATGATGGAAATTGTATAAGAAATGCTGGTCCTCGTCCATTGGTAGCACCGGTGGTGGAAATAAATACACGTGGGCTCCGAAATGGAAAGGGCCAGCTACTGAATGTTGTCTGGGGTGCTTGGTGGCTGGTGCCCCCACCTGTGCTGTGGGCTGAGCCGCCGTCCAGCATCGGTGGCAGTGAGCTCTGGTTGCCCGTGCATAGGACCGTATCGTGACCTGACCAAAACGAGCGACCCTCTGGGGCCCGCTAAAATTGCACGTCAGTGATACCATCCAATAATGGGCGCCCCAACGCCGCTTGTCGGAAACGCTCTGAGTCAAGAGGCCGCGTGACAGCGCCACACGCCCACGGCTCAGCCAGTACATGCTACGGACTCATTTGTCATTCGCAATGCACCATGAAAGACACGTAAATCAAGCGTCTGCGATGGTAAGCATGCGTGCAGCCTGCAAGCTTCGCCGGCCTTGAACGCGTCTGAATGTGCGTACCTGCGAGCATTGGTCGTTGATGGGGAACTTAACCCAGCGTGCCGTGCACCCCGGAATAACGGTCAGAATGGCGGTCAGGGACACGCGATCTCAAGTGTGGCGTGCGGGCGCATCCGGGGGCTGGATTAGGTACCGGCGGCGTCATCCGATGAAAATCCTTTATGGCTGAGGGCTCTGCTTTGAAACGAATACTTCCCTGATTGTTGTCTCCTTCCGCCCTCGCAAAAGGGGTCGGATAGTCGGAGTGGTGCGTAGATACGAGAGGTGACCGTAGTAGACAGATTTTATGCTGATTTGTTCGTCTAAAATGAGCGCATACTGGCGCGTGTATGCTACTGCTGTAAATACACATGTCAGGGAGGCAGGGTACTTACATTTGTAAGCTATTGTCGTTCAGAATGCATGCAGCCATCAAAGTAACACATCGGAGTCCACCTTTGGCATGTGGAACAAACAGCTTGCCTAGAAATTCGTTGTAAACCTCTGCAGTTAGCCTAATTGACCAAAACACCACCAGGAACATACTCGGCACATATCAGCGCCTGGCAACATCAGGCCCAGCGTAGACGTCGTCACCATCGCCAGGCGTCACCCCACCCGCCGCGAGCACGGCCTCGGCCCGTCCGCACGGAGCACAGTCTCACCTGTTGGCCTCGAAGGAGAAGGCGACGATAGTGCCGGCGTTCTGCGGCTGCTGGCGCACGTTGGCTAGCACGGTGAACTCGCTAGAGGTGGCCAGCAGCGCCAGCGACCGCTCCAGCACCGCGTCCGGCAGGCGCACCAGCCGCGTGTCACCTGCGGGCCACATGCGTCCGTCAGACATCGCTTAAAAAATATTTGGGTACGCCAGAGACTCACTTTCGCTACGAGGCTCATTCACATCACATCACATTGCGTTGCATCGCACAGCATTCACATTTACATTCACGTTGCGTGCATAAGCCGAAAAGCACCCGCCTGAGTCGAATTGCATAGCTCTTTGTATCGTCCTCCTGAGAGGACGTCTGGGGAACGCCCTGAGGGTGAGAGGACGTCTGGAGAGGTCCCTGAGGCTGCGCTCATAAGTGGAATGGAAGTGAGCTCTGGTCTGGGTCAGCCAGGGTCACTTCAGTTGGGGGGTGGGGGGGGGGGGTCAAGTGCCACTGCGGTCCGCTAGCCGCGTATTCACTGAGCGCTGAGCCCTGGCGCAACGGAGCGAGTGTGCTCGCTCCGGCGACAGTCGGCGTGCCTGGACACCGATGAGGACAGGGACGGAGACGGGGAGGGGAAGGTGAGATGGGAAAGGCAGAGATGGAGGTATGACTATAGACTAAGGCCGAGGAGTTTGCGGGAGGGATACAGGGGAATCAATGGAAACATGCTAGAGAAGAGGAAGAAAGAGACACCAAAACAGAAAGGAAAAAACATGAGAAGGGGAGAGAGATGAGAAGGAGAGGGAGGGAAGGAGGAAGGAGAGAGGAGAGGATTGAGAGGAAAGGGCAGACCAGGAAAGGGAAGGGAAGGGGAGGGGAGAGGAGAGAGAGAGAGAGAGAGAGAGAGAGAGAGAGAGAGAGAGAGAGAGAGAGAGAGAGAGAGAGAGAGGGTGAGAGAGAGAGAGGGAGAGAGAGAGAGACCAAGAGATAAGGTCCAAACACGTTTCCCACCAGCGATTTCAGCAGCACTAATGCGAACTACCCACACGCCACAACAAATCCCTGGCTTGTCGGCCCGCCACAGCGAGTCCAGCGTTCGAGACCTGTTTCTCGGCTGCCTCCGGTTGGCAGGCGACGGCGGGGTCAGCCGCACCCAGTCTGGCACCGGTCAGCCGCCGCTGGCCCGATCCTCAGGTCATCGTGGCCGAGAGGACGGCCACCCGACGGCAGCCAGGCCGCTAATTGATGCTGCCGCCTTTCATCAACGGGATCAATGCTGCCGTGCCAGCCCACTAATTAATTAGCGCGGTAAAAACGTGCTCCGTCGCCAGGACGACAGGAAAAGGGTGCGGCTGAGGGCCCGACTAAGCTCAGTTGACGCGAGGCTGAGGGTGCGAGCCCTCATTGGAATCACGTTTGCTGAGACCCATGCGATAACGTTTGGAAAGAGTGCAGATGATATGCATATATATATATATATATATATATATATATATATATATATATGTACATAAACATATATCTTGAAATAAGTCATCCAGTTCCCTATTGTGTGTAGGACTATAATCCACCACAATAAATACCAAGCTGCCTGTGCGCCACAGCTGACATGCGTTGTGTCATTGCTCTCTGTCAAAGAGGCGCAGGCATTGAACTATGCTAACTAATGCAATAAATCAAGCGTCAAGCCGCTTATTTCAAATGCATTCGCTGGGGCAGAGCAGTATACGTCTGAACGTTCCCTTGATAGAGGCATTCGAGCGTCAGCGCTCGTCGATCACTCAGGGGCGGCGGGGGCGGGGTGTCAGCGTTTCGTCCAAGCAGCGGGGGCGTACACATTCACGCGGTCGTAGCACGGCGAGCTAATCCAAGCCAGCGGACAGCGCGGTGGTCGGAACAGTGCCCGTGCGCGGCGGTATCCCCCACAGCTGAATGTCGGCACCGCGTCCAGCGGCTCGCGAGACGGGTCAATACCAAGGCCAGTCTTTAGGCGGCGACCGCCCAAAACAATACGGCGCCGCCTGCCCGAGCTGTATTGTCCTCGCCGGGCGCTGCCGCCTCACCGGCCGTTCGCCGGCGCTCCCGGCGCTCCCGGCCGAGGCGACGACTGCGCTCGACAGCATGGCGTCGCAAACAGTGCCCTCGCAAGGCGAAGCAGCCGCCGCGCGACGCTGGTCGCGGCTCTGGCCGGACCGCTGACTCCTGGTGCTGCAGCGGCGCGGAACACCACACCCGGGGCTGAGCCAGCTCCCATTACCGGTAGGCAGACGCTCCTAACGCAGCGCCGTGCCCCTAACGAAACAACGAGCTGGCCAGAACCGTTGCAAATGCGGCCGCTAGGTAGACAGTGCAACGCCCGGTCACTTGTCCGGCTAACCGCTGCAATCCTGGCACACCGCAAATGGCTGACGGTGGGGAAAGTTCCTGGCTGTAACTGCCGAGGTGAATGACAAAGTTTGACAATGGCGCATTGGCCGCTAATAAAACGCTCAGCGCTTGCAGGCCGGATGCCTTGGCGGTGCCGGCACCTTTCGCACGTGCGCCCGCCACGTGGCGTGGCGCCAGGACACGAGCGACCCTGACACCGACACCTGACGCCTCATAAATACTCTGAAATGCAGAGCATGTCCCGAAACGTATCATTCTAATGGAAATAGCCTCTCTGCTCGCATTGTTAACCGTGGTATGCTGCGCATAGTAGTTTCTCATGTTTTGCATTTATAAGTGCCTGTTCCTTCCGGTCAGCTGATTTTGTTGCCCTACATTGACAGGTAAGCTTTCGATCACACATTTGTGTTTTTATTTTCAAATTTATTTCACTCAGATTCCCCTGCCTGAGTTATGGCTAATCACAGGTAACTATATCTTCTCTCCTGGCGCCAAACACCGTTTCCGCCATTAGACCATCATGCATCGAGACGGGTGTGAAGAAGTAAACACGGGTATCTGTGCAGCCCGGAGATCCCCAGCTGCGTGAGCGCGCACTCCTGGAGCGGCTCCCCAGGCCCAGCTCCCCAGCTGCGTGAGCGCACACCCCTGGAGCGGCTCTCCAGGCTCCGCTGCCCAGTTCCATGAGCACACACCCCTTGAGCTACTCCCCAGGCGTAGCTCAAGCTCCCCAGCTCCCCAGCTCCCCAGCTCCCCAGCTCCATGAGCACACACCCCTGGAGCGGCTCCCTAGGCTCAGCTCCCCAGCTCCATGAGCACGCACCCCTTGAGCTACTCCCCAGGCCCAGCTCCCCAGCTCCATGAGCACACACCCCTGGAGCGGCTCCCTAGGCTCAGCTCCCCAGCTCCGTCCCCTTCTTCCTCCCCTCACCCCCCACCCGCTCCGTCGCGTGCACGCGTACAGTACGCCCTGTTTTATTGATGTCTCCTCCGGTTAATCAATCCGGCCGTAGTTATAGTAATTCTACAAACACAGCAGCGGCGGCGGCGGCGGCGGCGGCGGCGGCGGCAGGCTGGTGTCGCCACAGAGCCGTCGCAGGTGCTATACGGCTCCTCACGGCGGGACGGGGTCGAGCTAGGAGGGGGAGGGGGGAGGGGGGGGCGTGCATGGGGATGAATGGCCGCCAGTGTACCATGATCGCCTGCTGAATGATCTCAATAGATTTGAGGACGTGTGAGGGGCTTTGAACCCATTCAGTGCCTGATCCTCACACGTGACTGATCGCGTGGCGGACTGTGCCAAGTAAAGCTGTGCGTGCCATATTCCGTACGCAAAACGAACGCAACACGGAAGAGGCAAAGCGGTGGACATTTCGCTGCCTCGACAGCATGAATAAGGGGCCCCTTACGGAGATCATGGATCATAAGCAGCCCCGCACGCAAGCCAATCTATCTTCTGAATTTGCTAATCGGGGGCGTACCGAAGTCGTTCAGCACTGACGTTAAGTTTAAACGCAAACGTCATGCTTTCACCCCGCGGACCACGCGATCGGCATGTGTTACGGGGGTATTGGGCTGCATTCAGCGGCTTGTGAAATTCCTGACTATCAGCTAACCAGACGGATTTCCCGGCAAATGGCGAGTCCTTTGTTTCTGATGGTCCACATCAGTCACCGGATATGACGCGCCTGTCGCCGATAAGAACCAGGTAGCTCACGAGTCTGACCGCGCGGACTCGAGGAAAGGACTTAAGTGTTAGAACTTAAACACGGTCACGTCTTCGCAAGCAGGCCGAAGCAACGCTCGTGGACTATCCACTGAACTCTTGAAGTAGGTCTGACATGACCAGCACCCTGCATCTGTAGCTGACAAGGACAGCAGCCGCCAGGGTTCGTCGTCCGTGAGATCGAGCTCCGCGCCCGGGTCCGCCTGACGTCACCGACCCCGGTGTGAGACTGTGAGCTGGCCCCGCTCTATCGCAGCGGGGCTGGCGCTGATAGACGGTGACGGCGCACCGGTCACCTGCGCCGCGCGCGGTCGCCGCCCAATGTGAATGATTCACAGATAGAGCTCCCCCGATGTCGTCGATTGCCCCTCCCCGTCGCTGCCGCTCCTCCACGCCGCGTCACACTGCCGGCCACCGCCGCCTCTGACGGCTCCAGCGTCGCCGCCTCCACCGGTCCCAGCGCGGCCACTTCCACCCGTGGCAGCGCCCGCCTCCGCCCGCAGTAGCGCCCGCCTCCGCCGGCCCCCAGCGCCGCCTCCGCCGGCCCCAGCGCCGCCGTCTCCGTCGGCCCCCAGCGGCGCCGCCTCCGCCGGCCCCCAGCGCCGCCTCCGCCGGCCCCAGCGCCGCCGTCTCCGTCGGCCCCCAGCGGCGCCGCCTCCGTCGGCCCCCAGCGCCGCCGTCTCCGTCGGCCCCAGCGCCACCGCCTCCACCCGTAGCAGCGTCCGCCTCCACCCGCAGCAGCGCCCACCTTCGCCGGCCCGCAGCGCCGCCTCTGCGGGCCCCCAGCGCCGTCGCCTCCGCCCGCAGCAGCGCCCGCCTCTGCCGGCCTCCAGCGCCCGCCTCCGCCGGCCCCCAGCGGCGCCTCTGCCGGCCCCCAGCGCCGCCTCCGCCAGCCCCCAGCGCCGCCGCCTCCGCCCGCAGCGGCGCCGTCTCACCGGTCAGGTTCAGTGCCGGGGTGAAGCTGTGCAGGCCGGAGATGGTGGTCACGCCGGGGTAGGTGGTGTTGAAGAGCTGCAGGCCGTCGATCAGGTCCACCTGGATCCGTGTCTCTGGGCTGACTCCACCGCCCACCACTGCAACCGGAGAGACGACTCTGTCAGTACGTCGCAGCGACCCGACAGACGGGTCGGCGGGGCGCACACCTCAGAGAACGTCGCAGCTATCGGAGGATGGGCCACCAGACGGACGGCACTCTTTGGACAGCGGCATATTATCTCCAGATTGCTGCGGCGAGGAAATCTACGGCTTAGCTGTGTTTGAAATGGTCGAATATATAGGCGGTATCAGTGGCGGTCCTTCCAAATAACTGGCACTTTGGCGGTGTCATAATTCCTGATATGGGCGTTGCGGGCCGTCCGACCATTTAAATGGCGATCAGACGGGTCTGAGCCCAACGGTGAATGGTATGGGTGATCATGTCGTCAAATGCACCCGCACCATATCCAAATAATCGCATCTAAACCATATTGAAAAGCCCCTGCAACCGTAAATTTCATAGTCAAACTTGCTTCTAGTGTAACCACACCACATGCGGTATCTTACAATGTAACTGAGTATGCATAACAGTTATAACAACCACCCGTATGGAAAGCAGTGGCTGACAAACGTATTGTCCTGTGCCAAACATGTTAAACCCGCAGTTTTGTACAAGATGCGTGGAGGGTGACAGCACCAGAGCCAATTTTCACTTATGTAACCAGACGATTTTTCCTCGACAGCTAATGACCCCGGACTTTTCCAGCCGTTGTTTTGGCGCCGTCTCAGGAGCCTGCGTGGCCAGGTGCGTACCGTCGTGTGGCGGGCAGCAGGCTGCCTCGGTGCGCTCGGCCTCGCCGGAGCAGGCGGCGGTGGCGGCAGCCGGACATCGGCACAGATGCCCCGCCACCACGGCCACCACGGCTAGCAGCACGGCGAACACCACGCACAGCAGCACGGCCGTGCGCGCCGCCGCCGCCCGCCGCGCGCGCATGGGCCGGCGCCGGCGGGCACAGCGGGGACCAGCGGCGCACGGGCACCGGGACACGGCGCCGGAGCACGGGACACCGAGACCGGGACCGGTAGCGGGACCGGTCGGCGACAGCGGCGGCGGCGCGGCGAGAACTGGCCCGCTGGGCCGTGACACGACGCGACCCGCGGCTATCGCGCCACTTTGCTTTTACTCAGATCACCGGCGCCGTTTGTTTTAGCGGTCGCTATCAGACGGTGATTGCGCGTTTCCGCTCTAGTTGCCGCCGCGGTGGTGCGGTGTTTGCTCGCCGGGTGGGGGAGGGGGCACGTGCTGCTAATGGAGTCAAGACGGAGTCCGACTGAGTGGCAGGTAAACAGGAGGATCGGACCAGCCGGTGCGATGTCTGGGAAACGGGAGAGCTTCTTCCGAGACGCGAGGCGATAACCGGAGAACAATCCACCGCCGCGCGATTGCGGAGTCAAAGGCGACAGTTGTCAAGAAAGGTCAATCGATCGGCGCCCTGTCGTGTGAGTGGTGACTTATGTCACAGCTGTGATTTTTATCGGCAATGTTTGGGGAGTCATGTTCCTGTCAGGGACGTCATTCTGACACTTGTCGGACAGACAAAGCCCGCGCAAAAGGCGTCACTGCGGCGAACATCGGGGGCCCGGCTTCAGCGCAGCGAAAGCAACCCGGAAGCAAAACAGCCTGGGTGAACCGTTAGAAAGTGACAACCAGTTACGCGTCGCAGATAGTGCTGGAATCTTCGTCTAATGGAAAGCAAACAAATCGGAGCTTTTTGCTGATAGTCTCCTGTCATCTCAACGCAGTGAAAAAGTGCAAGCCTGCTCTGAATATGAGTGCACTACATGCACTGCATTGTCACTTAAGGTAGACGCATCGGAAGGCACGTGTTTTTATTGACGCAGCGGAACTTTATAGACAGTAGCAGGCAGTGTATAAATTCGATGGAATGGGATAAAAGTGACCTATAAGAGGTATGACAGTCAGAAAACCGCTAACACAGTAGTATTCGTTCTTATTTACAATTGATGTGCTTCATCTTTCATGCTTATGTTTGATGTGTTATGGGCGTTAGTCGTGTTCACAAATGGATATTGAATGATAGATTTTTTTTTTTTTTTTGCTAGAGAAATCGTGCGCACACATTCAGGATTCTAGGGAACTAAATAAGTTATAGCAAGAAATGTTATGTGACCACATTTACTGCTGTAACGCCAGCAAGTTATTATCAATAACAGATGTTGTGTAATATGTTCCCCATACATTAAGAAAATGTTAGGACTGCTTGGGAAGAACAATAATTACATAAATGCACGAATTTTGTCGTAATTGCAATGTGATCACATTTCACTCAGTGAACCTTATGACAATGAATTTTACGGATCGATCAGAACATTAAAATAAAGTGTCACACCAAAGACCAATGAATGGGATCGAATCCGAGTCGATGCTTTTCGAAAATACATGTCAGCCTTAAGGTTGGCCTTCTGTCCAGGCGGACGACAAATCCGAAAGATCGATATCGCAGGCGCGCCTATCGTTAATGGACACGTGTTTTCACCCGCAGTCTCATGTGAACCATCACTCCAATAGCCGACATAGGCCGTCTGAATCTATCTGTCTGTCGCAGGTCCGCCCTCGTCCCATTGTCAGGACAGCAGGCGGAGGGGCAGGAGCATACTCCACGCCTCACCAGCGCGCCCTGTGAACGGGCTGAGTGTGGTCACCCACGTGGCGCCCGCTCCGCACTGCCCTTGTCTCCAGCAGCGGTGAAAGGAGCCGACTCGGCTGCCATTGGGGCCCGCTGGTGGCGGCAGCCTCTCCAGTGTGTGGGGCCTGGCTGTCTGTGACGCGCCTCGCCCAGGGCTGACCGACGGCCGCACGTCACTGCCATTGAGTGCCACGCGAGGACTGAACGGTGACGTCATCCGCGTGGGCTGACGTCATCGCGCCACGGACGCGTGTCCGGTGTACAATGGGAGGCGGTCCTCGTGACGTTTGTAAACAGCGACTATTTCGAGGTGCCGGCCGTCGGGCGGGCACCTAATGAGCAAGCCGACATTGAAATGTGTGGGAAGCGCGCGCGCCCCGCCCCGCTCCGGTCAAACACTGGCCTTGGATGGATGGCAGTGCAGAGGTCGCTGACACCGAGTACAGCGCCGACATCGACCGGCCCACCCGTGACCGAAACAAACCGACTGTTGACGTGAAACACGCGGCAACCGACACCCAGCCACTGCGCCCCACCCATCGGAGGCGGCGGCGCGTCTGTGCTGAGTGACCGAACCAGCGCGCGGCGGCGGCGGCGTCGGATAGACCGGATCCCATGGTGGGGACCAGGGGCTGTCTGGCTTGGGTCTGGTATCGTCATAGCGGTTCTGAGTCTGGAACTAGCGTGAGCCGAGTAGATCGGCATATTGAAAAATAGGTATTTCCCTGATTTTTGTCCTGTAACCTGACGTTAGCCATAAATGGAGTGTCATGTATCAATGAAACACCGGATTAAGTATCTGCGTGTGGAAGCGTGAACTTTTCATAACATAGCTGTATCTGAAGGTGGGTACTTTCATACTTCCCATAGCGCAAGGCATTCGCGCTCGCAACTTACAGCATCGCCTACACTAAGTTGGGCATGTGCCTTGATCGCAAATAGATTAAGGTTCCAAAGAAACATTCCACAAAATTGGGAAAATGTTTTGGATCTCAAAGGATCCTTCAACAGAATTACAGAAAAGATCAGTGATCGATTAGACCGTTTCTGGCGCATTTTGAGGCATTTTCCGAAACTTTGCCTCTGAGAGCACCCGAACAGTCATCACAATAATTCAAGGACACATGCAACCACAAACGCATCTGGCAAGCGAGCAGAAACACCATGGTTGGAATTTTCAGTTGGTTTATTAGGATGCGCTCATCTAATATGCCATCTAATGAACTCATCTAATGGACAGATGAGTAATCCAAGTTTGACAGTTTGCGGTTGAGAATGGCATGTTAAATTAAGCTTGCATGTAGATTACCATCCTGAGGAGCCGCGGTAACCGCGCCACCAAATACCGACAGACGACTCTGCAATTAACGGATGACGTGGCAGCATTTAGAATAATCATTTGGCGGAATAATTTGGCAGAAATTAGAAAAAGATCCTGGATTCCAGCATACTGTCCAAAGAACCCAAAGTGGATCCTGGATCTGGACAGTGTGTGATTCAGGTCTCAAAGGACCAATCCTAGAATTTACCCCTGGGGTCTAGACACACGTCTGCGCCAGGTCGCGCCGGTCGTCGCCGCCCGGTCCTCCTGCCATGCGCTCCCCTCCCTTAATTCCGCCAATTTCAGTTAGTGGGCTGCGTAACATCGGTGAAACCCCTCGCGCCTCACATGACTTACCCCATTTCACGGCCCGTTTGCCCCACGGAAACCCTTCTGACGCGCACCCTCTAATCGCTGGGTAACATGAGCCAGCAGACAGGGTAAATAGAAAACTCGGACTCCCTCCGGCCCACAATTTCCGCGGCTAAACGGTCCGCCGTGTGTGCACAGCCTCCACGTGGACAGCCGTTCAGCGCCGGGCGGCAAAAACGCCGCATCTGCCGGTCAGAAGGCGGGCCGAGACGCGTGCGGCGCGTCATTAGCTCGGCGGCGTCAGCTGTCCATGAGCCGAGTCCGCGCAGGAGTCAGTGAAGGCTCGAGCGGGAGCCTCCGCCCGGTGCTGCTGCAGCTCTGCCCGCGCAGGTGACGGGGTCGGACACCAGCCGGCCGCCTGTAATTGGGCCGGCTCGGCTGCAGGTGCGTCTGACATCACGCTGTCCACTTCGCGGCGTTTCAGAGATGTCAGGTCTGACGGCTGTGCGGCCGAAGCCAGGTGCTGGAGCTGGAGCTGGAGCTGGAGCTGGAATGGGAGCTGATCGCTGGGTGTGGGGTACGGCCGAAGCCTGGCGCTGGAGCTGGAGCTGGAACTATACTGGAGCTGGCGCTGAAGCTGGAGCTGGAAATGGAGCTGGGGTTGGGGCCAGATTGGAATAGGAGCTGACCGCCGTGTCCGCGGCCCGGCCGAAGCCAGGCGCTGGAGCTGGAGCTGGACAGGGATGGTAGCTGGTCGCTAGGTTCGCTGTTCCCATGTTGAAGCTGGACAAGAGACTTGAAGTGCGAACTGAACCATGAAGTTGCGGCCGGTCCTTTTAGTTGAAATTGGAGCTGAACTCTGGAGCTGAGGCTGCACGTTTGCGCTAGGTCCGAAGGAAAGTGGCTGAGAGTTGTTCTTGGAGGTCGAGAAAAGGAGACCATCTGAATTGGCCTCTAGAGCTAAAACTGAAGCGAGGAAAACCGAGAGGCCACACACAGCCTGATGGAGGCCACTAGTTCCAGCCCTCCTCGTCCCACCCTGCTACCCCTCGCCCGGGCACCAGCAAAAACTGGCCGCAGACTCATTGTTTGGTCCGGGCACGTGACAAAGTCGCCGTTCGGTAGGCAGCACCCCTGACGGAGTGGGTGCCGGATATCAGTCCGTGCACAAGGGAGGCAAACTCGACCGGTCATGCCCGCCCGCGGGCAAAAAGACGTCCAAGGCCAGAAGACCACACACGATTCTGTCATATGAACGCTCATTTATCTGAGGTTGATGCGGTTGCCGCTTCAGGACACTCGGCGGTGTGGTTGAAACGCTCGCAGGTTAGCAAACAGTGCTGGCGTCTCAATTTAATTAATGGTTTCATGACGGAGACGCATAGTAATGGCAAAGTGATGACAGAGACTCGATTTAATGACAGAGACAAAGATAAAATGCAGCGATGACTGGGGACCAAGATTATTGGGGACCGATTAGTGCCAACTTTCAGGACAAATATATTTTAAACCTACGTACGCAAATGTTTGAGAAAAAATCCCCTATCCAATCGCAGTGAATTGAACTAATGAGACGAACTATG